AACTCAGCATTTGGATTTGACTGTCAAAACCACATGGATGCCTAATGAATATTACTTGATAGTTGTGACTTTTATTTGTGCTTTGAGCCTCGTGTAATATTCCTTTTTTTCTCTCTGAAATAGGCAGATTTGGATATTATGGCTTATTTTTTCATTATCCCCCATTGGGCCTCTGTGAGTCATAATCTGGGCATAAACAGAAATAAATGTATAATTGCACAGCCTCTCTTCGTCCACAATTACTGGATAAAATAATTCGTAATGTGCACTGAGCATCTTTGCTAAAGGAATGTGCAAACGTATCTTCAAAGACAATCCTTGTATCTAGCTGTAGACCCTCAAAAATACTACTTCCTTGGATATTTTAGGAATATTAGATAGGATTGTGTCCTGTCTGACTAATTACAAGGTTGTTACCATTTGCATCTGATAATTTAACTTTATCTCTTCCCTGACACCTTTTTTTTTACACTCTAAAAATATTATGCTCTTATGTTTCATTTCTGTATTTCTGGCAGTATATAATTTATGCACATAAAGATATCTTAGAAAATATCGTATATCATCACACCCTTTTGGAAACCAAGAACGGAATCAAAGTAATAGTCTGATTCATTGTAATTATTTCTGTATTACATCAGAGTTTAACCACATTATGATGTTGGGCGGAGATGATCCATGCTCTCAAGGTTAGTTTTTTGTTAGATTAGTGTTTTAATGCTTGAAGGCAACAATAAAAATAGTTATTGATATGGGGCCATCCAGTTTTCTAAGCCTAAATATCAATATCAATATATGCTGACAAATATTTATGGGTGGCACTAATTGATACCCAGTTTTCTAAGCCTAAATATCAATAATGATGCTGACAAATATTTATGGGTGGCACTAATTGATAGGAAGAAGGTATTCGGGTAAAGGGAGAAAAGCTGGAGGGAGGGAAGTAAGGGATAAAGGGACAGAGTGCCTCCCCACCCCGCCCCCATAATTGCATCCAGTATCATCCAGGCCTAGAGCCACCCAAGTTCAAGTGGCAAAAACTTTTTGGGTTACGTTGATTTGTTAAACCAATTGTATCCTGTACCTTACAATAGGGAACATATACTCAAGCCAGATACCCTGTTAAAAGTTAGGGATGTATTTTAGAGTTTTCATTGGACAGAGATAATGAACACAATTACAGCTCTCCATTTGAGCCATTCAGATCAGCTGCCACCAGCTAGAATAATGTGCATCACTCAGCTCTGTTTATATGTAAACCGTATAATATCTTAAAGCTGATGTCATTGTTTTCCCCTTCTCAGAGTACAGCCTGTTTTGATCTACGGAGAGAATATTTGTAAAAAGTGGATGTCTGAGAATGTAAACAATTGGGGAGGGGAGATGCGGCTGTGTCGGATTGACTTTTAATCTCCTGTTCTTTCCTGGCCTCTAATGTCAAAGGGCTCTCTACCTATTATAGTGCATGGCTTATGGGTACTTTAAGGGTACTTGTTCTGGATTTTAGTTTGGCTTTCTAAATAAAGGACGGAAGGACCGAAGGAAAAGTCTTCGGGTAAAAATATTCCTGAGTGTACTAGATCTTGCACTGAAGGCCGTGGGCCAGAACAGCTATCGTCGTGGGGGAAAAGGGTTTCTATTTTATGAGACCAACAAATGTCATGCCTCCTGTTTACTTTGCAGCTCTGTTTGTGTGTGTTGAATCTATTAGTTACACCTAGTTGCTCGCATCTACTACCGTCTAGACTCTTCAAGAAACAAGAGATTTCATAGTTAGTGTTTTTTACGGGCAGGCACATAATAAGGTACAAAAGTGTGTTTTTATGATGGCAATCTCTTTTGCAGACTATTTTCTAGAAGTGAAGGTGTTTCTGATATCCAGGTGCCTATTATGTAAAAGTTGTTTTAGCTAAGTTAGTTCAGATTTATCAGAATGGCATTTCACTATGTCATTTCTCATTACCCTTTGTAAACATGAAGCTTGCCCCCGTTTCCTTTTAGAAAAATAACTTTGCGTATGCCAGGGAGCTGCATTTAGATGAGAGGCTTGACAGCACTTCCGCCCACACTTTTTATAGCGTCCTCTAGAAATTTGTGGTCAAGAGCATGGATTTTGAATCACAAGTGCCACATTGACTAGCCTTGAGATCTTGAGGAATTTACTTATTCTTTCTGAACCTTTTTCCTCATCTTTAAAACAGGAATCCTAATAAAATCTCAGGATAGTAGTGAGAATTAAATGAATTAATACACATTAAAACACCTAAGTAGTGCCTGACATATAGCAAATTTTGGCTTTATTTTTGATGGAGTGTGTGTGTGTGTGTGTGCGGGCGCGCGCGTGTGTGCGTGCGCGTGTGTAATATGTTTACTGCAGGAGTGGTTTTTCTCAAATACTCAGGGAGAGAGGAGGATACGAGTGTAATTTGAAAGCAATTATAGTCAATTTTAAAATTGCTTTATTTTGTTAGTGATGATATTTA